TTTTTGTATGTTTCAGGTATAACAAAAAGGGGAAGGAAAGAGATCTCAAGATCTTGTTGCAAGGCATTCAGCTGCCACAGGCTTCAATGACTGGAAAAGGAACTCCATTGCCAAAGTTAAAGCCAGAGTCCTTGCAGTCAGGCGAGGCATCTCCTTTTTCCTTTTTGTTACCTCCAGATACTGCTGGTATGGCAAAACTCAAGATGCGGAAGTCAAAGGCACCACCACCACCAGCACCAGTTGTTTCTCGCCCAATTCTTCCCATGCCACTACCGCCTGTCACTGGGCCAGTACGTTTCTCTGTGATACTGTCTCCACCAATGGCTACTCCGCCATTGCCAGATCTAGGCAGAGTGGTTACAGTACCAAGTGTACAACACCAGGGACAAAAGAGAAAGGCAGTGACAGATGATAGTGGGATTGTGAAACGCAATTACACCAAAACGGCCCAAACTGTCAAATGCAGCAAGTGTGGCGACGACAGAAATCCTCCCACACATCAGCAGTACATGGGATATAGATACTGCAGCAAGACAGAGTCTGTGTCTTTCGAAAACTGGAGGACACAGTTGAAAGACAAGGGGGTTGCAAGAAAAAGAAAGATATGATGGAAATTGAAGGATTGAGATTATTTCAACAATGGATTAAAGGGGCGTGAAAGAACAGTTATACAATTTTTAATGCTGCCTACTATATGATAATTTTTGTGATAATATCACAGTTAATGAAATTGCTATATAGTAGAAGGTTCCAAGCCCCTGTAAAAGCAGAGGACAAATTTGTATGGCGCTATGGGAGATTGACATTTTCTTTAATGTAATTTTTATAATTCACTCAACCACTGATCTTCAAAGCTTGGTTGATACATATTAAGAAAGATTACTTGTAATGATGACAGTTTGAAATATGCTTGTTCTGTGGAAAGAGACGTTTCTTTAGTTAAACTGGCTTAGGACACTTTCCTTGTTCGGAAAGAGATCCGAGTTCAAATCTCGGTGGAAGCATTAATTGTTGCAGTCAAGCATATTTGAAATTGTCTTTTTCATCATTCATGTGATTTTAAACATTTTCCATTTCCTTGGAATCTGTGCTCAAACCAACTATCTGGTAACTCGCTTAGATCATGTCA